CATAGATACCACTCAAATAATGCTATTCCAAGGACAGTTGTACTCATCAGGCGAAACTATTCTGTACATAATATCAGTGTTCTTCAAGTAATCGTGCAATTCACACATCCTTGTGTCCCACACAACTGTACCCCCCATACGGAGGTACTGGGGCAATGTTCCCAACTTACAAAACGGTGGTACCTCCTGATACGGCATAGAGCTAAGTCATAAAATCTACCTCTTCCTTATTTTACTTAACAATACTGGCGTAACTTTGGCACCCCTCAAATTGGGGTGCACTTGTAATGTCAGCTATTTCCAGATATGAGTACTATACATACATCTGTAGCTTCCCCATATTAGACTCCAGGTCATCAATACTCTCGAATCAACGTTGTTCCTGACACAAATGTATTTTCAATACAACAATACTCTCAACATAACAGTACTCCTTCTACACGCGTCTTCTTGCAAAATCGCTGTTACAAGGATATTTGTACTCATCGGAGCACAACACTCCACACATAATGGTGTTTTTAGGATAATAAAACTCCAGGTCACCCATATACACGTCACATCAGTACCCTCATATCACAGTACCACAGGAGTGTTTGCAACTATCACCATTCATAGACCAAACATATTAGCATTTCTCAGTTAATAGTTACCCCGTAATATCCATTCATTTGACAGAATAGTTCCCCACAGATAATAACATTTCTACTATATGATTACTATATACAGAACAATATTTTTAACATTATAGTACTTCTGGCATGACTGCACCTTTCTAAATACAGTATTCCAGAGAAACCTTATGATGTGTGCAATTGTCGCTCCTTACAATGGACGCATTAAACTTAAATCGGAATTCTACAAAGAATCGTATGCTAACGATAGTGGTATTTATCAAGGCATACGATCCCATACATAGCAGTACGGCGCTTCAAATCACAGTACACTTAACAAATTCACACGTTTCAAAGACTAGTACCCCCCATATGAAACTACTACACAAAATTTCGTACTTTATACATACGTAGTGCACCTAATAGGGTAGAAGCTGAAGCCTTAAATCCATACTCCCCTAATATTTCACTTAATACTATTGATCCAACTTTAGCATCCTTTAAATAGCAGTTTACCAGGCATGCCCGCACATTGGACATATGAGTACTATACACACATCCTTACTCTTCCCATAGTACCACTTCAAGTCATAAATATTTCATTAGCAAATGTGCTGTTTCAATAAAAGTATTAACCACACGGAGGGGATGTAAACAGGACCATACTCCTTTCACACGAGTACCCTTCCAGAGCATCGTACTCCAAGGGTAATCTTACTCATAAAGGCAGGAAAATCCACACATGATGCTTCTGCTAGTATGATAGCACTCCGGGTGATCCATATAGCTCGAGTACTAATACCTTCATAGAACAGTACTATGGGGACTTCCTGACCGCTCATCATTGAGAATTCATACACATCAGCTGTTTCTAGACAATAGGTGTACTTCAATATTCATGCACTTCACAGGACAGTGTTATTCATATAATGGAAGCCTAAGCTCGGAATCTTTCACATACACTACTACATGCACGAAAGTACTTTTTACATAATAGTAATACATGTATATCCGCGCGCATCATTGGCAATGGAAATACACACCAGTATTGTACAAATAATGGTACCCCAAGTGTATATCCTGTGTTCAAATACCAATAGAATAAGGATGTTACTACTCTCGACATATAAGTATTACAAACATGTGGATACCCTTTATATAAGGTGACACTGGAGGATATCCCTACCCCTTACACAGATGTGTCCTTCAGAAGACGGCACTGCAGGCGCAATGGAACCCTTCAGATAACACTCCTCTAGAATATCATTACATTTCACATAATACTGCATTCAGAATGTTGGTGGACTCAATAGAATGGCACTCTCCATATCTTCACGCTCTTCACATGGAATCACCATTGGTATATTGCTCCTCCCTGGGTAGATGTGCTCCAGACGATTTCCAAGGTCCAAACGATTTAGTAGGCCGTACATTGCTTGTATAATTTCTGAACGCCCATATAATACTACTGCGGATATAGCTGTATACTTCACAACCATGGACACTTGCGGGATGTTCCACCACCTCACACAGTTGTGTTCCCTATATAATACAACAGTACGTATATCTCTGAACTTCATCCAATGGTGTCTTTTATATAATAGTATCCATAAAACACACATACACGGTAGAAATAATGACACCCCTTGCATGTCAGTATTATCAAAATCATACTACTCTCGGCACAGTAGGACTCATCCCGACAATGCCATTTTTGGTATATCAATACTTCAGACACAGGCGGACTATTGACGTGATAATTCTCTGGGAATATCAAAACTCGAAGTTAAGAAGTAATTCTCACACAAGCGCAATTTAAGAACATTTGTACAATTGGTAGAGCGGTGCTGTTAAAGTCATAGAGCTTCACGCATTTCACCACTGTTAATATAATAATACTTCAGGGACTGCTAACAGTCCATAACAGTAGTGTCCTTTGTATAATAGCATCCGAAATCCTGGAGTTTGAAGTTCAGACTCTTCAAATAGTTGTGCTCCAGACACCTCAATAATCTGCGCACAAATGTGCTCCCTAAATGACAGTACTACGCATATATCAGTATACTCACAAATTACTGCTCTAGATCTTGCATATTTCCTACGTAGATATTCAGTTCAGAGACCAAGGCACAACCGATATTACTCCAGTTAAACCATTAGTACATTGATATAAGAGTACTACGGCCACTTCCCTAATCATTACCATTGAAAATCCATACACATCCGTACTGTGTAAGCAATAATTTTCCTTTAATATCCATAAACTCGACGGAATAGTGCTTTCCAAATAATGATCCTCCTAGAATATGGATATTTCACACACAGAACTACGGTTTACATCATAGTATTCCTGGCTCCATACTACCATCAAAATAATGGTGTCGCCAACAGTTCTTAGGGGTTCTACAGTCCTGTCTTTTATATAATTGGACCATTAAACTTAAATCGAAACCCTTTACATAATGGAGCTTTACAGACAGTCCTCCTCATCTAGGCACACGCTTCTATACATAACCGTAATACTCTTCAAAGGTTGTAGCACTGAAGTGGTCTATGCTGTTTACACCATAGCACGATGCATATAAGACTATTACGGAAACGCTTGTACCCTGTATGGTGTAACTCTCTGGATATGATAAAACATTATGCCATATATCTTATCGACTTTAACATACATTACTTCACAGTACGGTCGTAAATTTGTCACTCTTCGAATAGTAACGTACCAGGCATCTTAACACTCTGCACATATGAGTACGGCATATACCTATCTCCTCTTCAGAGAATGTTACTTCGAGTGATCGATACCTTCCTATAAAACTATGCACTTCGAAGGGAGGTATAATCCAAACAAGAGTATTGTTAACATAACAGTATTACTTGTACACGCGTACTCTCTAAAGGATAGTACCATAGATATAGTCCCCCTAATGAAGCTACATAAGGGCAGAAACAACACTATCCGTAGATCAACTTCACTCCTGGTACATCAATACCTGAGACAAAAATGTACTCTTAACATCATCATACTCCCCGAGTAGCAATACTCTTTAAGTAATAGTATTAGATATGGGTCCTGGGGACTCCGCAATCCCGCACGTGTTGCGATGAAGTCATTAGACTTAAATCAAAACACTTGACATCCTGATCATCCAAGGATAAGGTTATTCCTCGTAAGACACCGCTTCCCATATAACAGTAATTTCCTTCAATTAACCCTTCACTCAACACATGAACACGCAGAAAGCAGAAGTATCCTTAACATGAAAATGCTACCGAAGCCTGTGCACTCCTCATATGATACCTCTCCCCAAATGGTGAAAGGTTACGCCACATATATGTTATCATCCCAATACATGACTTAATAGAACTGTCTGGACTTCGCCACCATGCAAATAGCAGCGTACGGAGCCCGCCTGCTATGGCCAGATAGGAGTACTATACATACTTTTCTACTTTCCTCATATTGGCATTGAAAATCAAGAATACTCATTAAGAAACTGTGTTATATAAATAGAAGTATTATGCACATGACAACATTTTTAACAGGACAGTACTCCTGGTGCACAGATACTCTTCCATAGGATCCTATTTTAAACATAATGATATCCATTATGGCACAGCCCACAGCACAAAATGGTGCAGCTTAGTATGATAACACTAGAGGTCATGCAGATAGTTATGCTACTAGGACTTCCATATGACAATACGATGAGAATCTCCGGATTAGGAACCATTGAGAATCCAGACACCTTAGTACGGTTTAAGCCACTGCTGTAGAATACTCATACACTTCATATAACAATAGTACACCTGCATCGAGGCGCAGCACAAACGTCAGAAGCGCACACCAACATTTTGCAAAGAATATCCGCATCCTCTTTGTGCTCCCGAAATAAAGAGACGATGAACATGTCAGTACTTTGCACATATGAGTACTATGGACACGTCTGTAGACTGCTTACAATGACACACCAGGGAATTCTTACCCTTGACGCACTTTTGCTGTCCAATTAACAGTGTTATCCAGGTAACACTATTTTTCACATAATTGTATTCCATGCACATCATGACTTTTAAAGCAATAATATACCAGGGATAAAGATGACGTTTCACAAATCGATAGATTATTCCTGTTTGGTAATACTACTGCATCTGTATAGTCATGATATTTACACTTCAAATAGGTGGCCATTCTCATAATAGCCAAAGAAAGGACAAATCTTTATAATGCAGCCACATAGAAAAAAAATAAGCATGCTGCTGAAGATATTAGGAAATAAAGGATTGTGATAAAAAAGAATAACATATAATAAATACAACATATCAACAGGGATACAGCCAGAAGGGCATCTTCACGAGGATGCGGCAAAAAGAAACCTTTTCAGAATGATCATTGCAAACAAACATATTCAAGATGACGGCACAAAAGAGAATCCTGAAGATACCAGGAGAAGAAAGCATCCTCATAAGAAAAATAAGAAACAGCACCACAGCGGAACGATACCGCAGAAAAAGGGCATCTTCATAGAGGAAATCGCACACGAGAGGAAATCTTCAGGGGGCCGCGAAAGAGGGTACATCATCGTAGAGAAGATGACACACAGAAAAACATCTTCACGGTCCCACGGGAGGAGGGAGGATCCATCTAGAACGAATGACACAAAACAATATATTGAGGCTGCCGCCGGTATATAGCATCCTAAGTATCACGGGGAAGAGAAATATCTTCATAAAAGGAGGGCCTCGAGAAAATATCTTCGCGGTAGCATAGTAGAAGGAAGAGGCATCTTTAAAAAGCAGCGAAAAAGAAGGATATCATGAATATAACGCGGTAAGGAGATTCTTCGTAAGGAAGATGTCGAACCAACAAGAATTGTCATAAAGACGTGGTACGGGGGACCTCATCGGGGCAACTGAACAAGAAACTATCGTCAGGAAAGAAATGAAACACAAACAGCAATCTTAATAGTGACACGACGAAACAAGCCATCCCTATAAGAGTGACGAGCCAGAAAATATATTAAGAGTACAACTCGGTAAAATGAATCCTGGGAAAAAACATCCCCCACAGGGAAGATACCTCACAAGGACGCACCATAAAGAAATAGAACTTCAGGGAGATCGAACAGGAAATATCATCCTCAGAGAAATGCCACACACAGAAACATCTTTATATTTACGCAGCAGGAAGGATGTAGCTATGGAAAAATGTAACACAAACGAGCATTATTATAGTGACATGCCAGATATAAGCATCGTTAAAGAAATCCCACACAGAGGAAAGGCATCACAGTTACATGATACGAGAACAACACAATGATCCGGAGGGAGAGCACCATAAAAATGCAGGAAGAAGAAGCATCATCATGAAAAAACTACACAGAAGCAATGGTCATAAAGATGCAGCACATAGAAGCCTCTTCCTAAAAATGCCAAGGGAAGTTGTATCTTCATAAGGATGCTGCGAAAGGTGTCATCATAGACGAACCCTCCAGAAGATTCTCGTCCAAAGAATGACGCAGAGAGGTGTATTCTCATGGAAAAATGAGATAGAGGAATAGATATAATGAAGCAAAACGAAACAGCGCGCGTGCGACCGATATAACCTTGAGAGAACCCCTCGAAAAATTGATCCACTTGAGAGGACTTGGGCAAGGTTAAGCCACCTGAAGGCACGTCCCGGAAAAATTATGGCACATGGAAAAGCGTTGGCAAAATTTGGCCAAATGAGATGACGTTCGCAGAATTTCCACAAATCAAACCACGTTTGCAAAATTAGGTCACATGAGACCACCTTCGTGAAATTACCCCACGTGAGAGGACGTTCGCGAAATTCGACCACATAAAACCACGTTCGCGAAATTCGACCACATAAAACCACGTTCGCAAAATTCGGCCACGTGAACACGCATATATGAAAAGGAGGCGCCATGAGAAGATACTCTCGTAAAAATGCAGAAACATGAGAGAACATACAAAAGGAAAATGCAGCATACAGGTGAATACTCCTGGAAATATCTAAACATCTGAGAACACACTCACAAAAAGGATGAGGCATGGGGGCGAATTCACAAAAATAAGGTAACTATAAAATAAACCATATAAACACAACGGCCCAACATTTCACGCTGTAAACATTGCATCTGAATATCTCTATTGTATTCAACTCATACGAGTTTCAACAGAGAGGCATGAATACATTTGGACGCCATAACAGCTCTTTCAATTGTATGCAACATACAATTAATGTTCAATAAGAAATTAGAACTCAGATTATACTACTTCAAATTCTACAATCCATTACTCCCCCTATATATGAATAGATAAAACACGTCATGAAGAATCGTGTAATTTTAGGGGGAACATTTTTATGCCAAATAAACAATCTTCTAACATGAATTTGCATATAATGGTAACTATGTTTTCACTGCGCTCAAAAATGTTTAACCATCGGTACTATTCTCTTTCGTTCTGGTGGTGTTTTTGTGTAGCCTTTTCTTTTATGACGCCAGATGTGCATCATAATTCCCCAGGTTAACATTTCTTATTTTTATGACTCATGAATTAATCCCACATATAGAAGGGGAAAGATATACATATTTGTATGTATATCCATGGATATATGTTCCATGGTCAGGTGTAAAGGAGTCAACAACACATAGGCTGCTTTCAAGAAATGATAGCAATGTATAGACGGATGTAAATTACGTGTATTTCTGGCGCCAATATCCTGCTTATGCCTCTCAGAATTGATGCATCACCAGTTCATACCCATAATGTAAAATGGCTTAACCGCTCGAAATGAGGAATGCAGTATGTTGTTGCGTTAGTTTACTGCCATTCATCATATGCAGAAATGAAGACGTTATAATCACATATATCTGTTATTGTCAGTCTATCCTGCTGAGTCAATACTGGACTCCCTTCTTAATCTCTATGATTTATTCGCTGTAATATATTATAAGAACCCCCACAATTCCTTCATTGTTTTTTCCCCTCCTGTATGATATTTATCTGCGGGTCATCACAATCAATTGGGGCGCCATTATGCTCGTTACTACCTATCCATCTCAGTCTCCTTCTGATTTACATACATTGATTGCGCTTTAGTCCCGGTTGTTCTACATAGAAACGTAATACTGGTATTTTTCTGTCTCCTCCTCTGCTAAATTTTGCCCATTAAACGTAATCCTTTCGACGAAATTAATCAAACCGCGTTAGCATATTCTCAGTAGTGAACGGCTCCTTTAACCGGTCAAGAGGAGTCCCTAAATAGAATTATTGCAATATTCTGTCTTCTCATCACTCTATTGTACGCCGAAGAAGGCTTAACTCTTATTATTCACACTTATACTTAATTCGATTCTGTTAATCCTTTTATTCAGAATTAACGTGCTTCCTAATTAATATTAAATTCATGTAGCAACAGATTCAATGATTGCATTAAGATTGGCATAAGATCCACAGCTCATTTTAGAACTCAATACTCAGGGGGGTATGGTTCTCTCAGAAGATATCAGATTAACACGAGTGAGTCCCCCATCATAATAAGAGATAACTACTCATTTCCTGAGTAAATTATTAATTGAATAATTAGCAGAAATGTCTTCCACCGTTCGCTTCTGACTTGAGGGAATCATGTTTTCTTGAGAAACATGGCTTCTTACCTGGGTTTCCACTGCGCTATCAGAATTTCACACTGCAGTGAATACACATTAATGAAGGATGTGTCTAATATTGCAAATGTATCAAAAAGAGGATAAAAAAGAAGAAACCGTAATAATTTCTCCAATGTTCCACTCGTGGAAACCACCTATTGAGATATATACGCTAGATATTTATACGTAAATCTTACATATCTCAGCCGCCCTACTACAGAAAAATCACGCTAAGCAAATTCTTCGAATGATCTATTATAATTGTCACATATTGTTATCAGGAGTTTTCGGCAATTATTTATTCATTTTGCACGATGGCCAGACGAATCACCACTTATCGTAATGAACTTTGCTTTTTATATTGCCCCCTTTATCAATTTCTACTTTGTACTTGGAGGTTCACAATGACCAAATAACCCTCTCCCTCAAAGGAAGGCAACAGTACAAATTACATTTCACAAAATATAAAGATAAGAGAGAATTCATATTAAATACAGCTAGGGAATGGGATTATTTATGGTACACCTAATTCTTGTCTTAACAGTCTGGAAAGATCATGCGCCGCAATCGCGTATCCCACAACAGCAAAATCTAACTTATATTCGATGCAAATCCCAAAACTATCCAGTCTCCCTATATTGGGCAGTATGACTAGGAAACTAGAGATAAGGAGTATTGTTAATAAATTCCCCTGTGTAGTATACCTCGTATGTCCATTCTGCAACATAACCAATATCAACGCTTATGAATAATCTATTCACTCATAAAATTAATTATGCACTTTTAACTTCATTCATATATCCCCGCAAATGTATGCAACTTTAACCTGAATATAAATAACATGTCTTTTACAACTATTAGGACATTAGTCAAAAGGCTCAATCGTTGGAAATACTATACACACAACTATGTGATTCTACACGGCAAGGTAATGAATGCTCTGGGCACATATTATACGACATCTACAAAATGAATTAACGAATAAACTGGAGAGGAACTGCGGAGACTCATGGATTCCTTAGCGACCAGTGACCATTTGGATCGTCACCTAGCTTTATTTAAATATTACCATGAATTTCATACATGAAATGAGAAGGATACCATGTTACCACAGAATTCTTCAAAATATAGGTTCTCAGTACACGGAACCGAAGTCATAGTATTTAATTCCCATTCTATCGTCCATAGAACAAGAACAATTTGGAATGAAATCTTGATTCAGACAAAAATCATTAAGAAGAATCAGTACCTACCTGAAATTTGACCATGGTTTCATGATCCACAAATTTCATTAATAAAATCCAAGCGAAAATATAGAAATTTCAGGGATACGTCTATGAGGAAGTTATCTAATCATTGTTCACATTCATGAA